CCACTGGAGGGGGCGTTCCAGTTTAAATCTACCAATGGGAACAGGGAAATTCCCACTTCCCAGGACTACTGGAACACAGCATAGAAAGCAGCTAGATTTAGCTACAAACTGGTGACACTTCTCCGCTCGGCTCACTCCCAACTCACGTGACAGGTCAAATCACAGCCTGTGAGGTTTGAAAATCTCCTTTTAACATATCGTTAGATTATCGCAAATGCCATTAATCGTTCAGCCCGACATTGTACAACACGTTCATTCACATTCACGTTGATTCATTTCCCACTTCTAACATGGCGTGTCTTCCTGCAGATTGACCATCCACATGGACGAAGAGCTGCGGAGCCTTGCTTTCACCACTCTGCAGGCACTGATGATGGATTTCCCAGAGTGGCGAGAGGACGTCCTCTCAGGGTTTGCGTACTTCATAGTCAGGGAGGTAACTGATGTCCATCCCACCCTGTTGGACAACGCTGTGAAGATGCTGCTGCAGCTCATCATCCAGTGGAGTAAAGCAGCACAGGCCAGCAGTAAAGGTCACGACACACAGGTGGGTTCTAATGCCTTTGATCATTGTTGTAATTTGTGTTTTTGTTGTTGAGGTCAAAAACAATGTGTGTTTATTATCCCAAAGGGCTCAAGCAGCAGGCGCTCGCTGTCGTTGGAGCGGACCCCCACTATAGGTGTTCTTCATATTGTGGAGGGCTTAGCACTGGTCGTGCTCTGTAGCTGCCGCCCGGCCACACGCAAGCTAGCTGTTAACATCCTGAAGGAGGTCCGAGCGCTGCACACTGCTCTGGGTATCGGCAAGGTACTTATCGTAGTAACTGTTAGGTTACAAATACATGAGAGCTGTTAAATGTGCGCTGAGCCGTCTGTGTGCACGGTCCTTTCAGGGAGATGAAGAACTGGCCATTGATGTCATGGACAGATTAAGTGCGTCAGTGTTGGAGAGCTTCATTTATCTGACAGGAGCCGACCAGGTATGGACACGTTTTGTTCCTTTAAAGTAAACTGTTGCCACACCTTGTGACTCTGAGCTCATCTTCCTCCTCCTCTTCCTCTGTTTGTCCCTGTAGACCAGCTTGTTGTATTATCCCAGTGGGATTGACCTTCAGACACTAGCAGAGTGGAGTTCGTCTCCCATCAGCCACCAGTTTGATGTGGTGAGCCCCTCCCACATCTGGGTGTTTGCCCACGTCACGCAGGGCCAGGACCCCTGGGTCATCAGCTTCTCCAGCTACCTGCGACAGGACAACCTGCCCAAACATTGCCCCACRGCCCTCAACTACGCCTGGATGTTTGCCTACACTCGCCTACAGCTGCTGTCCCCACAAGTTGACATCAAGTATGTGTCCTTAAACACCATGGTCTACTTATTTATTTATTTATGGTTTTATTACAGTTGTGTGATATTTAGGTTTTTTTTTTTATCAAAGTCTTTTTATTATTTTTTTAACACAAACTACAGAAAAAAACAAACAAGAACACAAAACAAAACACACACACCCAAAATCCCTCCCATCCCTCCCCTCCTATACCGGATCT